TTTTTTCATAAGAAATTGATAATATTAATGACTATTTTAAATTAAAAATAATATTAATTATAGCAAAAGCAATTGTAACTTTTAAGGTCTTGATAAATGCTATATCTATGTTTGTATTCTTCATTGTACATTGAACATTTAAGTTCAAATTATTTAGTTTTGTTAGTTTTAATATCATTGTAAATTTACCTATTAACAAATCTTGAGGTTACAACATTGTATAAGGTATATTTATAATACTAATTCAAACCTTTAATTTAATACTCAGAAAACTTAGACAATACTTAAGGTTTGATGTGCAATTTAGCGTAATATTAATACTAACAAAACTTATGTAAATTACTAAGTTTTATTTTATTTTTAATTGTACTGTTTGAAAACTATTGCAATGAGTGTGTTGAACAAGGATATTATTAGAGTTTTGTTATGCAATTTTTCAAAACTAAGAATATGAAATGATGAGTAATATTAGTCAATATAAGATGTAAAAAAATCATCTTAATTTAACTATAGTTTTTAAAAATTAATAACATTACTATTGAATATGAAAAATAAAAAATATAAATGATAAATATTACAATTTATTATAAAATGAGTACCTAGTTATTTTCCTAAGCTTTAAGCTAATGCAAACTGATAGAAGTAGGCTAGTACATAGGTATAAGAAAAAACTTAAAACAATAGTAATAATTTTAGTAAATACTTATATGGTTAGATTAATACTACTTGTTAGAATTTGATTTTAAACTATCAAATTCTTTTACCCTATCTGGTATACTAGCTCTTTCRACAGGCACACAGTCATAGAGTTCATCTAAACTGTTAATGAAATGTATTTTGCTACCAAATTTTGAGCTTACAAATGGTTTGATCATTAATACAAGCGTTTTTAACCAAAACGTTGGATGAACCAARTACAAAAACTTCAAATTTTTCCTTAGTTTTCTATCRATCATCTTATAACAACGTTTTAGCCAAGAGAAACCAGGAACACAATCCTTAGAAGTACCCCCTTGCAGATAAACTAGAACATAGTCTTCTGTAACTAGTTGGTCCAAAGTTGAAACTACATATGCAAATAGATTATTCATAACATAATTGTAATCTACACGATCACGATGTGGTAAATAGCATGCACTAAATATAATAATAGCATTGTGTGAACCAGTTGTCATGTAACCACCATGTGATAGCACACACTTATAAGGCTCTATTACTTTCATATCAATCTTACTAACAACACCAGTTACCGTAGAAGATCTCCAGTTACGTTCATCTTTGAATTCTTCTTCAGCTGTTAACTCTGGTATTGATTTGTTTCCTAGGTCCACATTTAAGAATCTATCAGTATTGTCACTGAATTCACTACCAGAACTTGATTCATAATCATAATCATTAGCTTTATTGTTGATGGGTATCAATCGACGTCTCCGTGAAGGAAGATTTATGGATAATGGGTTGTCACGTGTCAGATGAACACTTTGAAGATTATTTGTTAAAAAAGCGCATTCTTCTTCTTGTATATTAAAATGTTCACAAGAAGCATTACTAAATGACAATGAATGGTTTATGTCTAAATGTATTTTACTTGCCACTTGAGAATCAACTGCATGGCACAGCAAATCTGGTTGAGAAATTTCTTCCAAAATATTGCCATTTATTGATTGGCTGCTCTCAATGTCCTTTTCGTAGTCCATAGTGTATGTATCTTATACGACTGAAACCAAACCATTCTTCATTAAATTCCATTTTGTTTTGTTATTATTTTATTTTTATATTTTGCTCCACTGAAAATATTAATTGAACTCAATTGACTAAGGAATAGACAAATGAATGAAATGATTTATAAATGCATCATCTTTGTGACAACCACACAGCAGTTACTTTTAAAGCTAATTTCCAATATTATAAAATATGTACATTAAATGTGACATGTACATTACAACTTACAAGACGTTTTCAATAACATTAAATTAGTTAAATTAATTAATTTGGTCTGAATATTTTAAATTTATCAGATTATATTAAGTTTAGTATGTATAAAACTTAATGTAGTTTATATTGCATGAAGGAAACTTATCCACAAACATAAAATAATGTACAACATAATACAGACAACAGTTCATAATATATACATATTCAATAATATATATATTYTGTTTCAAAAGAGAACTATCACTTTTTGCACATAGGGAATGATGCRACACCAGGAAGTTGGTGGAAAATGTGCAGTACTGACATAAATCGGTCRGCTGGCTAATTATCCTCTTTTGAGACGGACAATGAATGTTAACAAATATAATTTAAATACAAATTAATTTTTTAATTTTTCTATTACTTATATTATGCAAATAATAAATCACCCAAATCTTGATCGATAATAATTCATCAAATTTTGGTTTTTTTATAGTTTGTTAAATAAACCATATAATACTGTTTAATTAAATTAATTAATTAAAATTTTATTTCCTAATTAATAAGTAACCATCAACCTTTATATTTATAATTTTATGAAGAGATTTGGGAACAAGACTTTATACCTAAAATAGTTATTATACCTAAAGCTTTTATTTTTAATTTATTAACTATATGAATTAATCAGAAAYATGTTGAAATTATTAATTTTAAGTTAATTATAACTATATCAGAAATTTAAAKTTTGAATACATTTAAATTGGTGTGATTATCTAAATGTATAGTAAAAAATTATTTAACTAGAGTATATGTAATTTTTTTACTATTAAAATTTTTAAATTATATTTTAATAGGTAGCTATAATAATTTTTTCTTTATTTGAAATAAGCAATCTATACCTAAGGGGCACAATAGGCGTATGTAGTTTTAGCTAAAATATTAACATATAAAATGAACTGTTCGTTATCCTTCTATGTAATGTTAACAAAATATATTTATTCATTACTTAGTTTTGAAAATTATCAAATATTAAAATTTGTGTAAACGTTGGGTAGTAGGTAGGTACTTATAATTATTGTAATTTCCCCCCTAATAGTTTTACTTTACAAATATGAAAATGCCTACACTTTGTCCAACGAGAAAATGTGYTGATTTTGATAAGCCAGCAATATGTTCTCTTGCTATACAGAGTATAAATCTTAATATGTAACATTAATAATTATTAATCCTAAACTTATTATTATACATACATAAAATATTGTAGGTAATAATATAATGTTTACACTACCACTGCAAATATTATATTAAGTAGCAACATTCATAAATATTCTGATAAATAAATATATATATAATTATTTAATTGTGAGAAAGCAACACAACTAAACTCAGTTGCATCCAGGTGTTTAGTTTATATCTTAATTTGACTGCCATGTGACCAGCGATGATCAATTGTTGTTTTCAAATTTTATATTATAGAAACCACCAGCAGCCACAGTTGATCATTACTACCATGCTACATGACCACCGGCTGCCATAACTGAATATGGTTTTATATCTTAAATTATCCATGGTCCTACAATAATGCACCAAAAAAATGCCGTGGCGTAGCAGAAATCATAACAAATTTTTTATGTAATAACTATTTTTTTAAACATTTTTTTTATATTTTTACATTTTTTGCATGATTGTAATATACAAATTTGGAATGACACTAAAAAACAAACTTGGCATACAATGATGGTATATCATGTGACCGCCAGCAACCACATGGCAGTCAATGTGTTAATATTAATTTTATTACTAAATATAGATCATAACATCAAAATTGAAATAAAAAACATTAAACTCAAAATTAATATAACATACTTATATTTTTTTATTTAACTCTACATTTTAATACAATTCTTACAAAATTTTCCAATTTATTTTATATTATATTATATAAAAAAAATTAATAATAATAATATATAAATAAGGATTGTTGTAAATTTTATGGCTGTTTGGTATAACCATAAGGTTTAATTTCACAATATAATGATAAACTGTAGGTCTAAATAACAATATTATAAATTACAATGGTTGTTTATGCTGTAGTTTTTCAATAACCCATTCTATAGCTTGTCTTCCTTTTGCTGCATTGCCTGAAATTTTACTGGTAAGTATATTTTCTATATATCCACTACATGGTAAGCCTTCTACAGTGACATAAGCTGTTTGTTTGAGTAAAGTTTTTTGTGGATCATCAGGATGTGGCTTATATGTGAGCTTTTCTCGTACAATAACAAATGGTCCCATTGATAAGTTTTGACTATCTAGCTTTAACTGCCGACGATCTCGATTAACTTTAGAATACTCACTGGCATAAAATGTACTTATTGGACCCATTAATGCACATGCCCAATTCGGTAATGTCCATCTAGTAGTAACTAACCGATGTGAATGTAATTCACCGTTAATTACTTGCCGATCAATAACATCTATTCCAAGGACAGCTGTGTTCATTGGATTTGGATACTTATTCCAAGCTGCTTGAACCACGGTCTCCCATGGATAGTTAAATGTGTGTTGAACAGTCCAGATTTTCATGTTGAAGAGAGATCACAGGTAACAGCTTTCACGATATTTCCTAAATTAAATCACACCAATGTCTTTTGATGTAAAAAAATATTTAAGATAGGAAGTGAATAATTATTTTATTAAAAATAATGCTGATTAATCAGTTCTAATTTAGTTAGTAATAATTATAGTATATACCTATGTATTCCTAACTAATTAAAACAAATCATTGATACATTTTTATTATTACGATTTATGGACTGATTACAATAAATAAATATCCTATAGAGCAGAGGTATTCAAACTGTGCGTCGCGGCTTCCAGGGGCRTCGCGAGAGTTTTCAAAGGGAGCCGCGTCAAAGTACCGAAAACCAACATCATAGGTCTTGTATAATTATTATAAATACTATTTGCAATCATTATGGAAATGAAAACAACACACCTTACTATCCGACCATTTGAAGTTTTATTTCTAGTGCTAAAGTCACTGTTATTATCACCCGCATATAACATATTTCCCATATTGTATCTGTTGTTGTTTCAATTATTTCATAATAATTTGGGAGCCGTAAAAATATTGTGAACACCCAAAGGAGCCGCGTGCTGAAAAAGTTTGAATATCTCTGCTATAGAGTGATTATTTAAACATGAACTAGTCAATAATAAATATTCATTATAATTTATAACCTAGCTTTTAAAATAAAAATTAGTGGATATATGTTTTTCAACAAATTAAGAGTACTTAAAATATTATATACTTCATAGTAATAAAAGTTATGGWTTATTGTTAAAACATCAAAAGTTGATGCACAAGCAAATTACAGATTGAAACATGTCAGACTTCTTCAAAATATACAAAATTAAAGTTTCAATATATAATTAATTAATYCTTCTAAAAAAGAAATATTGACAGATTCGTATAATTTTTCATAAATAATCACACTATAAAGTATTATAATTTATATTATGTAATATATATACCCTTGTATACACCTATAAAATATAATATGGCTTATTTATTGTAATCATTATAGTTATTAGTCGCATGCATTTATAAATAGCCAGGGTCACTTCAAGAAATGTTTGCAACAAATTATTTGCTCAAATACTCTTTTAAAAATTTAAAAATAACATATAGGTATAAAATTATTTGAATCAATTTTTCATAGATAAATCCCAAATAATTAATTTTTCTTACTAAGCTTAAAACTGAAAATACTGCTCTTATAAATCTCAGCCAATTTTATTTTTTATGATTTAAGTACCCATTTCAAGATACCTAATTTTGGAGTATAGTTGTATAAAGCCATTTTGCTAATTTATTATGTTATATAATATACAATAGTATACTCTAAAACCAATACTATTATGGATTCAATTGGAGAAATAATTATAAATAATAATAATAAAAAAAAAATACCTTTGTTATAACTAGGTACCTATACTTTTGATTCAAATGATTTTACTCGTATTTTATACAACATAGTTTTTAATATCATGGGTACTATGCTTATTTCATGTGGGGCAATATAATTATGTCCCACTAATATAGATTATTAAAATAAATATTCTAAAGTAGGTACAATTACATAAATAAGAAAACTTTCGATGTGAATTCATTAATTTATTTAAATGGGTGCATACAAACTATAAATTAAAATAATATTTTTTATAGCTTTAATTTAAATTTAAGTGTTTAACTAGTTTTTTTTTTGTAGATAACCATAGATAGACATTTAAAAAATAACTAAGGGTTAGGATTATATGCATATATTTACGATAAGGTTATGCAATTTTTATAACCTACATTAATAGAAACATAAGTCAAATTTCCATARCCAGTTATTATATAATATGCTAGGTTAATATTCTATTAGAAACACCAATTACAAATTAACTGTTAGTGGTCACACAGTAATAAATAACTACTAGAACCCAAAATAATTTTATTTCATATAAAAACAATGAATTAGTAACACACAAAACAAACAATTAAATATAAATTTAAACTATTTATTKAATAAAATTGATGATTGAGTTACATTAGGCATATAAGAACTAAGTATCAATTTGATTTAAAGTAAATATTATTTTAGTTTGGTAATTACCAAAGTAATTACAGGGTTACAAATAAAGTAGTACTATAATTTGAAATAATTGAGAAAATTAAAATTATAACACTTACCTAGGTTAATTTATAGAATTTTTAAAGAAATATTTATGTAGGAACCTGTGATAACTTATTCATTAGATAAAAGAAGTATTATATTTCAAATAATCCTTAAAGTTGTTTAATATTAAAAACGTGTCACATATTATATTTAATATATATGTATTGAAAAATTATATGCTCTAATTTTATGAGCGTAGTCAATGACCATAATGGTATTTCATTGAAATCTTAGTTCAGAGGTCATATAAATGAAGAAAGATATGTGTCAGTTAAAAAAATAAAAATAATTTAAAAATAAAACCAGATGACAAATGCACATTAGTTTGATTATATTACTATTAAATAAAACAGTTAACCAATTTTTTAAACATATTCTGATGCAGAATAAGAAGCTACATGATTTTATTAAATATTAATAATTGTGCCATACTACTATATTACTAAATATGACCAATGTCAAACCCAGGACAGGCGAATTTTTAAGAATTATAAAATTTTYGTTAGGCAACAGATATAGTTAAGTATGTACCTAATTAATATTATCATTATTAATTAATATGCAGGTATGTATATGATCTTTTGGCTCACCTTGTATGTGCTTATAGTATTATGGTTAAGCAAGGATCSTTGATTGTAAATATTGTATAGTTATGTGGGTACGTCGCAACGAAGGTGTGTAAGTTTGCTTCTGGGCAATAATACGGTACGTATATTAGTATTATTATTTATTTCATAGTCGAGCTTGTTCGACCACCGATCAGCACTCAGCAAGAGCGACACAGCGAACTTAACGGCACTAAGGTGTATAAGACTGAAACCCTACCACCGGACGGACGCGCACCGTCGAATCCGAAGACCAAAGTAATTTTTTTTCGGCGCACAGGTAGTACGTCGTAAATATTTTCCCTATACTCTAAAGTACGTGAGTACTGAACTACTGAGTATCTGACGGGAAAATAAGAAAGACGGAAGGATCGAATATCACCCGACGTATAGTACGTACAGTCCGTACAGACGTCGAAGTACCGTAGTGGGCTGATTTACTGATTATGCCAAAACGCAGCATAACCATGGAGGAAAAACGAAAGCAGTATCTGTTATCGATTTCACCACCGCAGATCGCTTATCATCGTAGTCCGTGATCGGCGAGATCACAACTTCATAAGTGATACTAGTGATAGGTGAAATGAATCACAACCACGGCTTTAGATAGAAGCATCTAAGACTGATCTAAAGCCGTGATCACAACTTACTTAAGCTTCTATGGTGTTCTCAAGGTTTATTTTATATATATCTATAAACCTTGTAGTGCTCTAAACTTACTATGACTGTCCAGACGTGAATATTGATATAAATTAATATCCGTCCAAGTCTCCCACCAGTAGTATGAACTATGAACACTATTTTTTATGAATCATTGCTACAACTAATGCTACTATAAATTGCCACTACTACACTTAGATTATGTACGCCATGTACCCAAAAGTTTCTGTGATATAATCAAATATCAAATACGTCAAGTTTCGAGCACGGTTTAAGATATATTTTTTTAAGATATACCTAACCATGGTTTCAATATTATGATTTTAATGTCTTTAACAGTGGGGCCACAATTTTTTAGTGGTATGGCWCAAAGGGAGGATATGTTCGTTATCATTTTTCGTTTTACCGCGCTTTTTTTTCAATCTATTCTTTGATCTCTTGTAAATATTGAGATATAAGAGAATGGAGGAATATTATTCCTATAATCCTATTTCATTATCATGCCTATTGCCTTATCCCTTAAAGCCTTAAGGATTATGACACCACGATATTGAACGAATTAGTACTCTATTTTTTAGTGTATCTATTTACAAGTTGCAAGTTACGACAGTTAGTAGTTAGTAATTATCCACCATAAGTTGATACATAATAATAATTGTTTATTTTTTATGATTTAATTGATTTATTGCATTAATCGATTTTTAATCTTTAACTTTTAACATAAAAAAAGCAATATTAAAACTGTCTTGATATTTCAAGAATCAACTACAGCAGCGTTATGGCTCCTCGMGGTAGAAAGACAAAAGTAAAAACCGCACAAGAAAACACAGAGTTATTTGAAAAAAATCGTTTTATCATTCTACCTAGTAAGTCTTTAGCTTTAGCTTTTGATATACATTAATAATTCTATTTGAGGTATTGAGGTAACATTTAGTTGAACTCTTTTTTAAATCGATCGGAACTTATTTTTTTTTGCAAACCTAAACCTTTATATTTTCTAYCTAACCTAGATTCAGTTTAAATCGAACTCGAACTCAACATATTTACTATTCTTTTTCAAAATATATATACAATTTTATCACTGATTAATAATTATATTGTAATTATTTCTAAATAATWATCAATTTTTATTTTTTTTATCATTTGCTATTAAGATCAAAGTCTAGTTCAACAAATATTTTCTAGTTTGAATTTTGAACAGTTCGATCCATCACTAGTTACAATATTATATAGGTTAATGTTTGTCTTAGATGCTTTAACAAAAGAAAAAAATAATGATCAACAATTTATAAAACTGCGTCATCCACAAACTAACGAATTGGCTTTATTTGTGTATTCAAAAAATGAAAAAACTTTAGCACAGATGCGTTCCTTACCGTTCAGTCACAGGTAATATATATTTCAATKTTCTTTGTCTTGTTAACTTTAACTATGTAAAATTATTTTTATAGATCATTTTTCAAAGGCAATGATGTCATTCCTATTGATAGGATTGATTTTGTAACGTTAGTTGATCCTTTGTTTCTTTTTCTACCGTATTTTGTCAAAGTAAGTATAATACTATAACTTAAACAAATATTCTCCATTAAAGCTGTTTTATTATTTTTTAGTTTTTTAGTTAAATGCCGKAAAACAAAATTGTAGATAGTTTTAAATTACTTGAAAATAATTAAACGTTAAAATATTTATTATAATTCTAATTTAATTTCAAATGTTTTTAATTTAAACATATGTAATTGGGATGAAAATATACAAGGTAGAATCATAATTTATAAGTTGGGCTGAGTTTCAAAGTTTTATTATATTAACATTAAAGAAGTTTGCCTATTTTTTTAATATGTTATTTTCTTTTACTTGGTAATKTTACTAACAACCTATTTGTTTAATGCATTTAAATTCTATATTTGGATCTGTTTTTCATATTCTTACCTGCCCAAGGTGGTTTTGCATAGTGATACAAGTCTCATAAATTTACAAAATGAAATTTACGATTTACATATTTTTTACCATTCAAAAAGTTGAAGCAACTCTTTATTTGTAAACTTTTGTATTTTTATTAAAATTTTAGAATTATAATTCAAATCAGGATTTTTATAAAATGATAAAATATAAATTTAACAAAAACTGCTGTTTTCTTTATGCTATAAGATATTTTTTATTTTTTATAGTTTATTAGTTATTTATGCTTAAGCAAAGAATATAATTTTATTGAAATTTACTTTGAAACAGATAAAAACTATTGTCTGTTTTAATTTTATATTTTGATGCATGAAAATAAAATATTCTTAATTTTAATAAACCAAAATTATTAATTGTTTTATTTATAGAGAGGATTAAATAATTATGTTTTATTTTATACTTATCTTGCCGTTTTTGAATTATTTTGCGAATAAATTCAATACGCACTCTATAAATTGAACTTTTATAAAAGTTATTATTTCAGATTCTGAGCAGAGCGAGGAATGTATTGATTTTACTATGATGATTTTTTTTTTTTTTGTGTGTGTCTGTCATCACGTTTTGGGACAGTAAAAGTGCTTCTATTTTTGACTTCAGTACCTGGTTAGGTCAAAAGTAAAAAATTCTCAATATTTTTCWAAATAATTGAAATAAACAAACTAAAAATTAATGGAAAAATGAGATATTTAACGCACAATCCGTTTTAGACAAAACGGATTTTTGTTTTTGATGTAACTTAAAAACAAATGACCATAAATACAATAAATTTTCACCGAATGTTTATATAAGTATATTCTATCCACCATGCCATTTTCAAAAAATGTCAACTTAATTTGAACTATTAATAGGCATATGCAATTTTCGATAATTATTAGTTCTTTTTAAATTAATATCGATAAAAATTTATTTGTTGGGTAGAAAAACTTGAAAATTTTATACAAGGCTCCTTACATATTGTTGCAATAGCAGTTGAAAATATTAAGCTAGAAATTCATAAAAAATGTTCTTTTACTATCTAAGATTTGAAAATTGAATACAAGATTCCTYACAAGTTTAAAAAAATATCCACCAGAAATTCAAATTAAATTTCTATGAGAGTTTGAAATTTAAATTTTTACAACATTGGATTTTCACTAGATTTCTCATTTATCGATTTTCTTATTCTGCTGTAACTCTAAAACAAATGACCGCAGATATTTGAAATTGTCACTGAATGTTTATATAGGCATTTTACGTTATTTAATAAGATTTTCAAAATATTTTGATTTGTTYTGAACTGTTAATTGACATTTAATTTTTCAACTTTTTTAGTTTTTTTTTTCTGTAAATATCGATTAAATTTTATTTGTTGGGTAGAAAAACTTGAAAATTTAATACAAGGCTCTTAACACATTGTTACAATAGCAGTTGAAAAATATTAAAAATACATAGGCACAATTTTTTTTTCTTTATTTGGAATATATAATCTGTACCTATGACTGGCACAATGACTACATGGGATGAGAGATACATACATATACAGTAACATTAATACTAATACCTWACAAAATACTAACCTAAGCATATATTTACATGAATACACAGGTTGTGAGAAGCCATCCGTCAATGACACTCACCTATTTGACTAAATACGTAAAAATTACGGCAATGTTCAAATTATTTTAGATAGAAATTCATAAAAGTTTTTCTTTTTAAATCTAAGATTTGAGAATTTAATACAAGGCTCATAACATATTTTTACAATAGCAATTGAAAAATAAAAGAAAT